TTTTTTTTTTTTTTTTTGTTTCAAATATATATATATCAGAGAACTGTATTTTTGACAGTAAAATCCACTGTACTCCACAAAGATAGCAGCAAAGAATTTAGTTCTTCTCAGTGCTCACAAAAAGCTAGTGCAAAAATATGGCCCTACCAGCACCTCCACCCAAAATTATTAATTACACATGCAAATAAAGCTTACCTACCTACCAGAACCAGAACTTACAGAACAATTGCTTCCCAAAAAATTGCATTTGGAGAAATTTCCCCTTTCTATAAAGTCAGGAAAATGGTCCTAGAAAAATTTCTGCTACTGAATTGCTCTACTGCTAATGTAGCCTTCATACCTGTGTGCCTCTATTTTATGTTAAACTAGATCCATACCCTTGTAAAATCCTATTTCAAGCACAATTATAAAATGAAACATGTTGGAATTCATACCACATTTAGCTATCAAGAATATTCTTCTCTACTATGCTGCAAGTCTAAGTTTACTACTCAAATATATAAATATTAGTTGTCCATCCTATGGCAACAGATCTTAATATTTTTTCCTTTCATTACACTGTACCATTAACGAACTCTGAAGTTATGTTTTAGTGATTAGTTAGAAAGTTGTTGCAGACTAATACTTCGGTAAATAGCTTGTTTACAAAGAGAACTGGAGAATTTCAAACATTTACTAGCAATCATTACTTATTCATGCAGGTTATTTTCCAGATGTTAATACACTAGCTGAATGCTACAATATTTGAAAAGAATGCTTTCCCCTTTTAAACAGAATAGAAAGTAATAAAAAATATTCTAGTACCCATTAAAAAAGTCAATTTAAACTATATCACAAACTACACAACTTAAAAGCAAGCAGGCTTTGAAGCAGGCAGAACAGCTCCTGAAGATGGCTTTTTGTAAAAACGGTTAACTGTTTCACAGAATTAAAATGTATTTTGCCATTTCTAAATAGACATTTTATTTTTAAGTTTTCTGAAAACCCAATAAAAAGAATAAAGCTCCTGGAGCTATTTCTGCCTGCTTGCACTGTATAACTCACCACATGTTCAACACTTTCTGGCAGCTATACAGAAAGAGAGTAAAGGAAAAAAGAGAATCAGAATACAATATAGAGGAAGAATTTTATATCTTCTACACATGGCTTTTGGTAGTCAGAACACTATCTTAAAATAATATTTCAAAATTAGTTGAAACATCAAAAATGCATGCACTTCTCTAGCCAGCATAGGAAGACATGTCATTGAAGCTTAGGCTAAAAAACCACAAGCTATAGGAACTCTACTATTTAGAAACTTACAGACAAAACTACAAGTATAGAACTATAGTTTTGCTCCTCACCAATGGCTATTCAGTTCAGACAACAATTTCTGAAACACTCTGTGAAAAAAATATTAAAGCAGCTGAGCACAGAAGATCCAAAGAATATAAAAAGAAGCACATACTTTGTTTCATCCATTACTTCTACTTCTGCAGGAGTTGTGATGGGTGCATTTGAACGGCCTGCAGCTGGGTCATCTGTGTTCAGTTCTCCATTTGTTGAGCTTACTACCTGAAATTACAAGAAAGACCTGAAATTATTCTAGTGCCAGACATATATTTTTAATTCCTATAGTTTCAATACATCTTAAAAAAACAGCATTTTTTGTTATTTCCATATTTATTTTTATTCCAGTAACAGTATCTTCTCCAGATTTTATTCTAGCACCCTTGTGTTCTTGTAATTTTCCTTTCATATCTACTAGTGGAACTAACCTCTACAATGGACTCAAAGTGAGTGGGCTAATCTCCCCCACATTTCTTCAGAGCCTTAAGGAAAGGCACTAGGCACTTTTCCAACCAATACAGTCGGTCTAGCCCTATCTCTGCTCCTTAGTTTAGCTCTTTATATTCAGAGGGAATATGAAGGTCTGATTCAGTTGTATCTCCTAGGACACTCACCAGAAAAGGGAAAAATTAAGGCTGTCTTCTAAACCTAAAAGTATAGATAGTGTCTGATTTTTAGGACATGAAAACATCTACTGCCAAAAAAATTAATAAAAATTAGATTAATCTTCATTTCTATTAGTTTACCATCAAATTTCTATGTAAATTGTTCAAGTCACCATGAAAGCTGTGGCTCTCTGGGAATATTTGTTCAGACTTTAAACCAAGTGTAACTCAACATTATCTCTCTCACTTCCTGTCAGTCTTCCTACATGACAAATGGAGCCATTCCAGAGGCCTCTCCATTATTCACCCCACGGAATACAAAAAGGTTAACTAACTGGCTGTAGACAAGTGCCTACCTGATCAGAGCTGCTGACCGTGCTAACTGAACCACTAAAGAAGTGACAACACCATGACAATGTCTACTAGCTACTAAATAGCAGCAACTGCTTGGCAAGGTAGCAAGTATAAAAATATAATTCTGGAGAAATAGTATAAAAGTTTGCAGAAAACATCTGCAATTAATCAGCTATAGAGACTAAAAGTAGTCTGTAATTAAAAATTATTACCAGCTGTTGCCTGATGGTCAGAGATTAAGGTAGATGAAAGGTGAGGGGCCAAGCTCTCCTCTTATTATAGCAGTTATGTCTCATCTATTTATAACCAGAGCTAAGACCTAGCCAATTGAGGTTTGTTTTGTCATTCCTATTGTAACTAAGTACAGCACCTCAGAAGTTTTCTGCACTTGAAGGCATTTTCCATGCCCTTCAGGCCAAGTTTCGTTTTTCAAATTTCACTAAAATAGGAACCACTACCAAAAAACCCCTGCAGGCTTGTTACAAAATAAAAGATATGTGAGATCACAGGAAACTGATTATTTAAATTTTAGTCAATATAACTGAAGGAATCATGGGAGACTGGACTTTATTCCTACAATGATAAGTTAATGGAGTTTCAATTAAGTGTCTTAAGCTTAGTTTCTTATCACTGGGTGTGATAGAATCACTTTATATTCACTGGCAGAAATAGGTAGGAATTGTACTTTAACAAACTTTAAGATGGTGATGCAGGCATCCTGATCCAAACATCCTGGGTTACTAGTTATTGGGTTTACAAAGTCACAGAATATTCTGAGCTGTCATCATTAAATATTTGTATTATCTCAACCACCTCACCAGGTATCTTATTGTAAAGGTCATTTCATTGTTTCTTGTAAAATACCCAGAGTGGAAAAGTGCATCAGAAGTATTTGCTATCTAAGACAGGAGCAGTCATAAAAATGTAAAGTTAAAAAAACCTTTGCTCAACTTGATTACCAAATGAGTTTGGTTCCAAAGGAAGCACAGAATGCTTATGGTTGGAAGGGATCACTGGTGGGGCCATGCTCACATGGAGCTCCCTGTGCCTACCTATATAACTAAGCACAACTATAGCCTGCACTAATCCATATACAACAACACCACCCAATTAACATTGTGGTCCACCTTGCCTGCAGCCCTAATAATGCAGGATTTCTGCTCCATAATCTAGGCTTAAAAATAACTTTTCTAAAAAGAACATCAGATTCTTGCTCAAGACTGAGTGGCTGATGAGAAACAGAAGCCTTCAGTTTACTCAGACAGAAGTAGGGTACATCAAGAAATAGTACGACATGTATATGGCCCGTTCTGGATGGGAAGCAAACACAATGCAGCTTAGAATTCCTGACTGTTGTAAAGAATAGGTCACAGTCTGCAGAGGCATTTGCAAGAACTCCTGTTCTCTTTTTCTAAAAACAAATGAAAAAATGTATGACTTTTACATAGATACCAAACATACTGGCCAACTCTAGCATCTGTGGGGTGTTCATACGACACTCTCATTCACACTTCTTTCCCAGGAGCACCTGTTCAATGATATCTATCTTCTTGGACAGCACATTATAAAAAAAGAGGTCAAACTTACCTATGTACAGATCTTCATTTGAATTGGAAAATACGCTACTAGGAATCTTAATGTCCTTTCTACATTTGTAATATTGTAACTATTATGCATGTCATGTACTAATCTAAGCTGATTTCCTCTTTAAAGGAGCCAAAATCATCCTCTGTTGAGGTCAATGCACTACTATCTGGTAACAAAGAACAAAGCTTACTGCAGCTTATACTTCCAACTGACTTCAAACTCAGCCATACACATTCACCAAATACACAAACAGATACTATGAAGTGTCTGTTGCATGACTTAGTTTAGATGGGAGGAACATGAAGCTCTTCTTTCTGGAAAGAGTTACAACCACTGAAAGCAAAAGTGAACCAAAGCATATACAGCATAAATCCAAAAATCAGTCGTCCTTCTCCAGAACCATAAATACCTTGTGTTATGGTTTGATACTGGCACAATGCTAGCGCTCCTATGAAAATGTAACTTATTAATTGAATGCTGTGAAATGGAATTGAGAATAGAGCAAAGCAGGCTTAAGCTTAATAACACGGAAAAAAACCTTTATTAAGCTACTATTATAAAAGAAAGAAAGGAAGGAAAAAGGGAAAAAAAAAACACACAAAGATCAAAATTAAAACTTTGTAAAGCATTCTTCTTTCCACCATCCAACTTTAACAAACTACAGCGAGATACAATCTGGACTCTAATTAGGTTTGTGCCCTCCAGACAATCAATACTTAGTCTATTCAGGGAGACAGAGTCTCTCTTGTGCCACAGACCCCCTAAGAAAACACAGCTGCCACATCTTGTGCTGCTATGTCACACATGGCACTGCCTGGAGAAAAAGTTTGCCATGGTGACCCTTCTTTCCATGCACAGTGCTCTCACCACCAATGCATGGATGGACAGACTGCTTTTAGGATTTTTCTTTTTAAGGATGTCTTGCTAGGAGGGGAGAAAACAACAGTTTAGTTTTTCATTTTTGGGGACCACAGTTCCCCCCCATTTCCCCCTGGGCTGAGGGTCTAAGAACAGAGATCTCTTTTCCTTCTCTGAGGACAGGGGGTACTACTACAAACTCCTTAATTTTCTTCTGTTTACTCTACTTCTGTCTTTTCCCAGCTGAAGCAGGTCTCTTGACTCACTGGCATCCTCCCAAAATACAGTTTCTCTTGAAGGAGAAGATTGGTTCAGTTTGTGGATAACACAGAAAAGTCCAGCCAAAAGCCACTCCATGTCCGCCTCCCATCTAGAATTTCTCCTTCTAACATCCCAGGGTTCAAGGTGTCCCTCTTCCTCTCTTTCAAACCGAGGAGGGGGAGAAAAAAATTCAAAAAGCTTTCATCTTTTTAGGAAGGGTTAAAAGTCCGGACTCCCAGGATGGCTCGATGCCCAGCCTCCGGCTCCCACGCACTGGGCACCTTGCGTCCCCCCCGGCTCCTCCTTCCCCTCAGTGAAATTGTTGACAAGACTGCTGCTGTCTCTTTTTCTCTCCCTCTCGGGAGAGAAACTCTGGTGGGGGGGGAACGGAGACATCCCAGATTTCTCCACCCTTCCATCTGCAGGGGCCAGCCCGGTTCCAGTCCCTCCACCCTTGGGCCCACCTCAATCAGTCCATGGGCCTTTCCCCTCCCCACCAGCCACGGCCGGGCAGGGGAGAGGCTGCACTGCGGCTGAGCGGAACCAAAGAGAGCGAGCTCCCCTGGGAATTCTGCTTTTAACCCTTCTGTGTTCTCAGAGGCGTGTCCACCTTCAATTGGTCAATATCCAAATTGACCTCTTCCTTCCGGAAAAATTCTTTTTCCGTGTCAAACCACGACACCCTGAGTTTCACACAAATTACTACTGCCAAAACCAGCTCTAGGAGCTCCTCACTAAGATGAAGAAAATTAAACTAACAAAGATTCTTACAAAGGAGTGCAAGAGATAGGCAGGACTGCTTCAGTTCCACTCACAGTAAGGCTACAGTTATATGAATTTAATTTCATGTTATATCAGTAAAGTACAATGCAATATGACCAGAAAGAGCCTTTAATAAGGCAAATTATTACACTTTCCTCTCCAGCTAGGAGCCAATCATCTCAAAAATCAGTACAACACAGGCAGGAAGATATGAGAACATAACAGAATTAACAAGAATAAGTCACCCAGAGGACACTATATGCACTGAAGGAGTGGTACACCAAATTCTGTACCCAGAATGTACCACAAGTAAGGCACAATGAAAATTTATCACACTAGAACCACATAAAAAGCTGTAATTTTAGGACAGAGAAGCTTCCTGAAACCAAGTTTGCTTTAAGAGAAACTTCTATTTCTCTACTTGTGACACAAGTTGGAATGGATTTCCCTTGATGAAATAAATAGCCTGATGAAAAAATGGGAGGCGCAATTAATCTCTTAGAAGACTTGAATATAACTATAGTGAAAAAATTAGGATATTTAAGTTATGGTTTTGCATCTAAAAATTCTGTTACAAAATGTATATGAACATTCTTCCCTGAATACTAACATAATTACATTTAAAAAAAATAAACATTTTTAAAGTTTCAAATTAGAAATATTGCAATATTGAAGATTAACTTAAGCTACTCACCTATTTTCCAGTGGAAGAATAACCACTAAACTGAAAACCTAAAACTACTTTAAGCATTTTTATAACTTCATCCTGGTTTAAATTTACTTCTTTCAAATGTAATCAGTTCTTTAGAAGTTTAATATGAAAAGCATCTATATAAAGAAGCATATTTATCACTGGTTATTTCTTAATACTCTCTATGACATGAGGTAGAGAACCAAATTCCACCCACCACCCATTAATGACACATTCACTGTGCAATAGACTGATTTCTTACATAAATGGTCCTCTGGAACCTTGACAAAGGCCATTTATAACATGACACAGTTAAGCCTAAATACCAAACCCCTAAATGGCAAAATTAAATCTTCAGTGTACTTTGTTCTGGATTAGTACACAAATTGATCTTTTACTTGCTATATTCAAAACTCAGTTAGAAAGTCTGCCATAAAAAACAAATTTTCCTGATTTTCATTACTCTAATCACAACAAAGAATTGCAAAAATTTAGAACAGACATTGAAAAAAAGCCCTTAATTCTATTAAGAATCTCAGTAACTGAATTCTCTACCCAAAAAATATACCCAGTCTACACCTCTAAGGAATTCATAAGTGATATTGCACAATTCTTTATTTTACTTTCAAAAAGTTTTCAGTAAAGACAAAATAATAAAAGTCATTACAATACCTTTTTCATTCACAAAAGTTTAGCAAAATTGATTTGTTTCATCTAACACTTTACTATCTTGACTTCTTGAAGGAGACGAATCTGGCAACTGAAAACTACTTACATCAAATATAAAAATCTTTCAAGCAGTTCCCAAGTACTTTCCTGGGAACTCTTTAACCCAGTCTTTCCATCTAACTTCCTTTTAAAGAATTTCCCAATGGAAAAAAAAAAAAAAAAAAAAAGATAAGAGGAAGAAGATCAGTTAGTAAGTGACGAAAAAAATTAATGGAACATATTAATGCAATCTTTATGAGTGCATAAGCAGTTTACAGCTCATGCAGAGAAAGAAGTAATTCTGTCTTGTACAACTGACATTCTGAGAAGTGAGACAAACTTAGGAAAACAAAGACACAGAAGTTGTTGAACAAATTGCTGGGAGGTATGAGTTGATCATTAATAAGTCTGCATGAACTACAAAAATGGACTGAGGTAAGTGGAAGAATGGATGCCTTCCCTTTTCAACTCAATTTCCTAGTACTATTTGAATTTCAACTGATTCTACAAAGTAAAATTAGACATGTCTAAGCACAATAGGATCTTCTGAACACAAGCCTAGGGTCTGGGAAAAATTAAATTAGTACAAAAAATAGAACAGTATCTGTAAATGAACAAACCAGTTTGAACCTCAATGGTTCCCACTTGAACTTATCACTAAGAGCATACAATTATATGCTAACAAAAATATACACAAATAGTCAGTTCCCTCAATGTTAATATATCACAGAAAATAATCACTAGTGCAGTTTAATAATCACCTAAAAAATAACATCAGCACTAGTCTTAGCATCTAATTAGTATTAGATGACTAATAGCACTGACCTAAAAACATTCCACTGTCACTTTGAAATAATCCGACAGATTTTCATATCTTGCAGAAAAATTGGTAAAACTGATGTCAAAGAAGAGCAATGGATCACTAACATCACAGAAAAAAATAAATACACTTTAATTGCACACCTCAGATTCAGCTTCACCTGTGAACAATTTTCTGTGGGATTTTTAGTATTTGTCTTCTCAAAAACAGTTAGGAATCCTACTAAAGTAGCTAGCTAATGTACCAACTTAACAAACAGCATGATTCAGTTAGTATCCCTGCAACAAAGAGGTATTTGATAACAACCAGGGGCTATGTCACAGCAAAACTGAAGATACTACGTGATTTTACAAGTGCCCTTAATAAGGAAGCATGACCACGCCACAACAAAAAGCAATCCAATATGAAAACATCCTGCTGCACAACTTGATCTTCAAAGACACAGACCATGGCTGCAGTTTTGCACAGTGCTTTTATTCATGTGGCAATTGCTTAGCCTCAACAGATCTAAATGACCTGAACTCAGACAGACTGCCTATATCCTGTGAGGAAAAAGGATAGAAACAACACTATATTAACAGTAAAGAATACTAGTGTTATTTGTGTTATTTCCTAGAAAATGTTCTCCCATTCCCCAAAGGGTATATTTAGCATATTTTACAAGGGAAGAAAATTTCTTGTAATTGTTATGTTTTACCTGACAAAGAATGAAAAGTTTCTGAAGTGCCACAATAGCCAACAGTTATATGATGGCACTTTGAAAGTTCAACTAACTGTAATTTAATGAATTCAATGTGTATTTTTCTAACCTAAAATATGGGAAAAGAAAGCTTTTTAAATATTTGTTAATGGGAAGAACAAAACAACTTTTAAATTTTTCTTTATACACTGCAATAATTATCATCTACTACATTTTGTTACATTACACATGACAGCTGTTTCTAAAGTAACAAAATTTAGAGAACGTTACTACACTGACAGGACTGCAGCCTTGTTTTCTGTACCCTGAACTTTTCATTCTTTCTTTAGGCCATGACAATTTTTTTCCAAACCAAAAACTTCAGAAGAAACACAGATTAACATAATCAACATAACTCAGGTTGTCATAATCAAAACTCCAGCAGACAATTTCTACACATATCCACCACCCAAATAAGACTTCACAAAACAAAATCATTTTCATTTTGGACTCAGAGCTCAAAATCTTACGTAGACTTCACAGTTGGAATTTTGAATCTCTCAGTATTAACTCCTCACACATTACTCCTACTATTTTGCATCTAAATATATTTGAAGAGTGAGATCAAAAATTTCAAAAGTTATTTTCAAAAATTGAAAACAAACCAGGAAAAGAGCTCTTTGAAGATTAAATAAACTAATAATATAGGAAAAACTTTTGGTTTCTACACATTTTTTCACTGAGATGTGTGAGGTGCTTCCCTGGGAACATTTTTCTAGCCAATTATGATTTGAATAATAAAGTGAAGTTTAAGCAAACTTCACTAAGTAGCATTTTAATCTGTTTACTTAAGGAACAAAAAATATGGCTTGAACAACACTGAATTCAATGAACAGTGGGTTTCAGTTGCTAATACAATTAACACATTTAAAATCTAACCTTCAGTTGCTCTCACTGAGATACATATATATTCTGTAAAAAAGACAGCTCAACTGTTTTATGTTCGAGTTTTACTAAGAAAGATGCAAGAAAAATTCCGTCAACAAAAAGTTCCATAGCTTCAGCACCTGTTTTCGGTTTGACAACCAAACTGTGAAGTAAGAAATAATAGAAGCATTCTGAATATTACTGATAAGCAATCTTAATATGAAACATGAATCATGAGATACATTACAGGAAAGTAGTTATGAAATGCAAAATAACTGATTTAGGTCATGCAAAGAAGCAGAAAATACCTGTACAGAGCCACCATGTCTGTCAGATGCCAGGTGAGCCCTCAAATTATGTGGATAGGTTTGCTGTGAGTCCCAAGCTGCCCTATGGTCTGTTGACTATTATTTTTGAATGTATTAGGATTTATGCAAAAGAAGAAAAAAAAAATTTAAAACAAACAATTTGTGCATTGTCATATTTTTAAAAAGTACAGAACACTACACACTCAATCCCTATACAGACTGCACATCAACGTTATCAACATACATGCCTTCCTAAAAATTTTCATACAGAGCTGAAGTAACTAAACCTCAAAATTCCTAGTAAGAAAAAGTATACTAAACCAACCCTCCAATTTTGCTTAAGTAAACTGACACAGCTCGGATTTCCTAACATTGCTACCACCTAAGTCATAAGCCTGGTTTAAAAAAAAAGTGAAGGTGTTATACATACATGTCAGAACAGAAGGAGAGAAAAGACTATATGGAGAAGAGACAGCGAATAAAGAAATGTGAGTAGAGAGAAAATTCCCTACACTATATCATAGCTTCAATCACCCAAACTTTTAGGAGATATTTATCTATCTCTAAATATACAGACTTTACTAAAGATCTACTTAAAGTGAAAACAAAGCCTAGAGTCAATTTTATTTTCAAGTTCTAATAAAAACATAGCACAAATCATTAGACAAAAGACATAGTAATGCTGATAATCTTACATGAGTAATTTACCTGATTTTTGGATTGTTGCATTCTGTCTCTGTGCTGATATGCTTCTCTGTTTGAAGACATTGCAGGGTCTGAATGTATTGAACCCACTGGAGTAGGCTACAAATATAAATAATATGTAGCAACTGGTAAAAAAAATAAATTTAAGTCTCACCAAAAGTTACTGGTTTGTAATAGAAAATAATATTTAAATCTGACAGTTTCAAATAACACAAAATTATCAGATTAAAGCAGAAGCTTCACTAGATATTTACTAATACCAACAAGAAAAAATGTAAACCATGACTTACAGAGTAAACCATGACTTACAGAATACATTGAAGTAGCAATTCTAAGTATTACCATACACTAATTTTCTAAAATACTTTAGTCATACTTCCTGCAGTTAGCAGTTATGACGTTCTGATGAAACCTCATGAAAAGCTTAAAGCAATTTTTAATGCTTTAATTTTTGCAAAAAATATGTTTGCAAAAAAATAAATGCTACAATTCTTTCAGAATCACACAGAGAAGAGTGAAGTGCATAATCTGAAACTGGTCAAACATATACATATTAGTCCTCCCTTCCCTATATAATAAAAAGAAGTGAAAAAATTTGAGAAGCTAAAGAAAACCCCATCCTCTACAATTTCTTAAATTATACAGAGTGTTTCCTGAAACCTTAGAAGCACTGCAATGGAATATTTCATGAACTATGCAAACTTTTACCACAGTGAACTGATAAATATCTAGAGTACATCTCCTATGCAGAGAAGCTGTAGCTCTGCCTTTTAAAAATACTGGGAACAAAAAAAAATACATGCAGTAATGACCATTACTTGCAAAATTTTAAGTTCCTTTAAAGAAACAATCTGAATTTCTACCACCTCATTTTGGAGTGTGCAGTGATGTACTTTGATAATAAGAGCACATTTGGAAAGAGAATGAATATGAAGCACTCAAGCCAAAGAAAATGTTAGACCATGCACCTGCAGATGGGCTTGTAATAGCAGCTGTTCACAGCTCTATTAGCAGCCTTGAAAAGACCGTGTCTTATGAAACTCAAAACCAATCATAGAAAAACTCATTATATTACTGACAGCTGAACTGTACTCACCAACTGTTTGCCAATCCAGTCATATTCATAATCAAATATATAGCCTTGGCGATCAAGTAAGTTTGTGAAGAGTTTTCTTAAGTAGTCGTAGTCTGGTTTTTCAAAAAAGTCTAACCTTCTTACATAACGTAGGTAAGTGGCCATTTCCTCTAGATATATAAGAAATATGTACATATGCTATTATCTGTTTTAATGGAACTCAAAAAAATCCCCACCACCTTATTTCATTTTAAAGCAATTTGTACCTCTCACCATAAAACCTGAACAGTTGTTCACCATGGATCTGTGAATTACCAGAAAGAAAAGTTACTTAATAATGTTCTTTAAAATGCTCCCATATTCTGAAATATACAACCATATTCCAAACATATACTAGCAAGTAACACCCCACTAATTTTTCCTTCATGCTATCTGTTGATATCTTCTGTTCAATGTTCTAATTATAATGCACAGTGTGCAAAAATGTGTGGAGAGAAATGCCTCTACTTCTATCTTTCCAACCAATTTTACAGAGACAAGACTAAGGAAAGGTAAAGAACGGGGTATACAATATAAAGCATCATCTTGTGTCCACAAGGCCTACTGCAAACAGGATTTCCTTTCCTTTACCATGAGCTACTCTCAGCAAATCCACTTTGCCTATCAGTGATATTTTGATTACCTTTCAAGGCGTTCACTTATATTTTGGCAAAATCATGCCCATGTCAGACATGTCCCTTGTTTCAAGCACTTTATTACAGCTTTTAAAAAACATCATATTCCTTCTGTGCAATTTTCCAACACCTCATTGATTCAACTTGTACTTACAGAGACCTAGAAGTAACACGTGAAACTTCCAAGTTATTTTAAATATTAGTTCAAGCTGTTTCTAATGCAGCTTGTTTTTAATAGGGGTATGATACCAGATTTCAGCTGAAAAGGCTTGTAAAATTTTCAGTGTGAAGATACAAGGGCAGACTAGCTGATCGCTGTAAGCACACATACAGTATTGTTTAAATGTTTCTTTAGAATAATCTATATTTTAAGAACAACAGCATTAGCTTGCTGCTGCTTCAAAGGATAATTCTTCTGTCTGGGCCCAGTACTATTTAACTTATTAACTAATGATTCAGACAAAGAGGCAGAGGCCTCCTCAGCAATTTCACTGACAACACAAAGCTGGGAGGAGAGGCAGATACCCCAGAGGGCTGTGCAGCCCTTCAGAAGGACTTCGACAGCTGGAGAGATGGGTAGAGAGAAACATTCTGAAATTCAGCAAAGGCAAATGCAAGGTCCTGCACCTGGAGAAGAATACTTCTGTGCAGCAGCACAGGCCGAAGGACAAACCTGCTAGGAAGCAGCTCTACAGAGAAGGACCTGGGGGTCATGGTAGACAACAAGTTCATCAGAGCCAGCGATGTGCCCTGGGGGACAAGAAGGCCAATGGAATCCTGGGGTGCATTTTGAAAAGCAGGTCAAGGGAGGTGATCCGTCCCTCTACTCAGAGGCTAAGTCCATCTCTGAGTTCCTCAATACAAGGGAGACAAGGAGTTCCTGGACCATGTCCAGCAAAGGGCTACTAAGTTGATCAAGGGACAGTAGCATCTTTCATATGAGGAAAGTTTGAGGGAGCTGGGCCTGTTCAGCCTTGAAAATAGGCAACTGAGACGGGACCTGATTAACACATATAAATATCTAAGGAGTAGTTGACAGTATGATGGATCCAGGCTCAGCTCAGTGGTGCTCAGCAATAGCAGGAGAGGCAATGGACCCACACTAATGCACAGAAGTTCCACCCAAACACAGGAAAGAACTCCTTTACTGTGCAGGTGACTGAGTACTGGAACAGGCTAACCAGAGAGGTTTTGGAATCTCCTTCACTGTAGACATTCAAGAACAGTCTGGACACAATCCTATGGCACATGCTCTGGGATGGCCCTGCTTGAGCAGGGAGACTGGACCACAGAACCTCCTGTAGTCCCATCCAACCTGACCCATCCTAAGATACTGTGATCTATTACACATACTGTAATTTTAAGCCCCAGCAATTACCTATGCCAGTTTCATTTTATAAATCAATACACAACATTTTTATTAACAGCAGACATTACCTGGAAAGTTTTCACACAATACTTCTATAGGAGTTGCTCGTTTAGTGTCTCCAATTTTCTGGTAACGTTCCTTTAATGTATCTGCCTATGACAGAAGAACAAACAAGCTTCTCAAGTTATACAGCTTGCAGACACACATTCAAAAAGCCCAAACATGTCAATAAATGCTGATGATCTGAAAACAGGACAGAAGCAGATATCAAAACCCACTACCTTTAAACCTTGCCATGGAAGACTTCCTCTGAGAAAATACATAAACATATGACCCAATGCTTCCAAATCATCTCTTCTACTTTGCTCTGAAACAAAATGCAAATATTATTAGAAACTTTAATCAGTGTAAATTTACATTATATTTAGAAGACTAGCTTCCAAATTATATAAAAATAAATGTTAGGTATAAAGTACTTGAAAGCAAACTGAGCATGTGGGGGCATTCTTGTGTACTACGGACTGCCTTAAGAACACAGCTAAGCCCAGAAAAAAAGAAGATGCAGACTGAAGGTATATTCATCTCAACAGCACTTTAAAAGAAAGAAATAAATAATTCTCAAAAATTATTGCTGAAAGTAATAATTCTCAAAAATGCAGAAGGAATTTTCTTTGAGCTACTGGACTAACCTCAGGATTTAGTAAACTTTAGGATTCAATAAAACTGTAGGACCAAATGTTCGTTGTTCTTGCAGTAAAAAGTCGACTAAAACTAAAATGTAGGATTATTTGTGGATCATTTAGATTACAAAGGAGTCTGGTCCCGGCAGAACTGATTCTTAATCTAGAACTTATGACAGCTCTGACAAGAGAGCACATGTACTAAAGGTAAGAATGAAGTTCTCCTAGTTTTGAGGGTAAGTACTTGTTTAAAGAAATCAGCTTCATTTGGCCTTTCTGTTCATATTAAAAGCAGACTTCATTCCCAGAAGAGTTTCAATTATTCATCAAGAATATGGGCAGCTCCCCAGAGACCACTACAGATGGCTAGATTAGAGTAAGTTGTAACTTCATGTGACTATACTTTCTTTAGCCAAATAACTTAGACAACACTTTAACATACAGTTCTTTTGAATTTGGGGAAATGGCAAAATAATTCCCGATTAATTTATATATCCAACAAACACAGACAATTGCAGAACTTTTACAGACACAGATCTTTGTCTTCATTAACCTCATAGTCAGAATCTACACTGTCTGGAATCTCACTTTCCCTTCCTGAAAATGAAGTGAACTGGAGAAGAAGCAGAGTAATTTTATCCCTAAATTATATTATTGAGAGGTGGGGCACCAGCGACATGCTAGTAAGGGCTGCAGTGTTTGTATTTCCTTCAAATAGCTCTCTGAAGCCACATTATTCTCCATATCAACAAAATACCTTCTATTCCATATACAAACCCCGAACTTGGCAAAAAACTACCAGAAATCCTTGATCAAGAAACAAAATATTATTGACTACAAGACATTCGGTAACTACGTATTTCCTATATACACCTTAAAAGAGTGGGCTTTGGTGATTTTGAACAAGTTTTGATTACACATTTAAAGTCTTTCTAGCAGCTATGCATTTGTTATGATAGCTTTAAATACCATGGATTCTAAAACATACTTTTTATTCAAGGACAACATCTTTTCTTACTCATATGCACAAACTGATAGTTACAGGTCAATAGACACTTGTAAAAAAATAGAGAGAATGTGAACCTGACAGCCTCCCTCCTTATTGAAAACACTTGTTTTACAAGGGTCAACTGTTAGACCACTCAGTAGTTCAGGAAATTATCTACAGACTAAAAACACCACCCTAAAAAATTGTCCTATTCCCACTATTTTCAGAGCAAATTGTATCTTATATGCCACTGTCTCTGTAAACATAGAGCTTGGGGACCTTCAGTACTTCACTGCATGAATTAAAAAATATACCATATTTCTAGACGAATATCACAGAACATTAAAAAATTGTTGGAATGGAACAATACAGGCTCTTTAGGAAGGAGAAGCAAGGGAGATCAGGAGGCAATGTCACCCTCCATGGCAATAGCCAGCTGACTGTATGGAGTTTTGCCTGGGAATGGATGAGGAGCTGACCGAGACCTATTGGGGAACGAATAATGGGAGGGTGTGGGAACTCAAAATGTCTCTCAGACATTTTTAGAGGTTCCAGGCCTTAGTCAGAAGCATTTTAGACCCTGGCAGACAGCTAGAAACAACTGTGATTTTGAGT